ACACATATACACAGACACACATGCACACAGATACATTCACATTCACAGACACACACACTCACACACACGCGCACACAGACATACATATGCACACACACAGACATACACGCACAGACACACTCACACACACACATACATACAGATACACATACGTACACACACACACTCACACATGCACACACACAGAGACACACACAGACACACACACATGCACATACACATACATACACGCACACACATGCACAGACAGATACAATCACACACACGCACACACAGACACTCACTAACTCACACACACACACACACACACGCACACATACACTCACACAACACACCTGCCAGACCTGCTGTGCTTTTCCAGCAACTTTGTTTTTGCACAAACATACATACGCGGACACACACAAATACACACACTAAGACACACACACATATAAACACACACATACACAGACACACACACACACATACACACATACACAGACACACACACATACACACATACATAGACACTTGCACAGGCACACACACATACACACACATACACAGACACATACACATTTATACAGACACACAAACACACACATACATACACACACACACACACAGGCACACACATACAATCACACACAGACACACAGAGACAGACACAGACACACACACATACACACAGACACACACATGCACATACACAGACACACACACATACATAGACACAACACAGGCATACACACATACACACACACACACAGGCACGCCTACACACACATACACAGACACACACATACACAGACACGCATACACAAACACACATATACAGATACACACAGAGACACATACATACACAGACACACAAACAAACATAAATAAACATACTAACACACACACATACATGCAGACACATATACACACACAGAAACACATACACACACACAGACACACACACACAAACACACACACAAACACACACAAACACACATACACATTTACACACACATACGTAGTCACACACACAAACAGCCACACACACACACAGACATACACACATACATAGTCACATACACACAAGCACACACACACAGGCACACACACATACACACAGACATGTACACACATACACACACATACACAGACACATATTCAGCACCATATTAGCCACATCTGGTTCTTATGTTACGGGATTTAATGTACATATTGCCCCATCAGGAACAAATGCCCTTCTGGAGATAAAACCCACAAGACGGTGACAGGTGTGGACAGTTCACCTTCTCATCTGCCCCTCTGTGAAGATGTGGCATCACTCTACACCCATTCCAGCTTCAAAGCGAAAGGCTAGATTTCACCCAGAAACTTAGAAAAAGTTGTCAAAACTTAGCCTCTATCTAATGTGGGTGCCTAGCCCTTTAAGGAACACTGGCGTTGCAGTGTTTTTGTTTTGGATCTTTGAAGGATAATGAACACACGGCCAATTTATTGGAAGCTCGGAACCCTATAGCGTGATTGGGCTGAGGAATGTCAGGCTAGCACCAAATCAAAGCTATCGAACAGCCTGTGCTTCCTTGTCACGTTGCAACACAGTGTGATCTGCACAGGAAGTGACCAGCACCACACTGCTGGAGGAGGCAGCACTGCCCAATCAAATTCCTGACATGGTGAGCTGAAAACCTGCATGGTCTTTTCCAGAATCTATTAACGGTGACTTCAATGATTCATTTCAAGGTTACAACACACCACAAAGCCCACTAACCTCTCTACATTAAAAGCAAATGGTCACATTAAGGGTCTGTATAAATAAGCACTTTATGTGCACAATTGCAAGAGAGATTGAGAATGCGGGAAATGTCAGATTTGTTCCTTGAAACTCACTCGTGCGCAAGCTGCTGGGATCTATTATGAGGAGCAGGGTCACTAAGAGTTTGAAGAATGGGGAGTTGATCAGACAGAGTGAATGTGGATATGTGAAGGGGAAATCATGTCGGACTGGAGTAATTGAATATTTTCAGGAGCTCACCAACACAGGGAATAGGGGAGTGTCAACAAAACCAAAGAACTGGGAATGCTGTAAATCAGAAACAAAAACAGAAATTGCTGGAAAAACTCAGCAGGTCTGGCGGCATCCTGTGGAGAGAAATCAGAGTTAATTTTTCAGGTTGAGTGACCCTTCCTCAGAAGGAGAATACCTGTTGCTACTGTCTTCGTGCACTTACAGGTGGTATTTATAAGGTTCTGCAAAAAAGATCAATGATTAAAATCAATGCATTGGCATGGGTCAGGGTCTAAAAATAAGGGGTCGCCTATTCACGATAGAGACGAGGAAACATTTTGTCTCTCAGAGGGTAGTGAGTCTTTAGAATTCCCTTCCTCAAGAATCTTAAAATATTTTTAAGGCAGGATAAATGGATTCTTGATGACCGAGGGGGTGAAAGATTTTCAGGGATATGCAAGAGTTGAGGTTACAACTGGATCAGACATGATCTTATTGAATGGCAGAGCAGGCTAGATGGGCTGAGTGGCCTACTGTTGTTCCTTTTTCCTATCTTCCTATGGCGATAAGCTTGGGACAGGATTCAGGAATTAGTTTGGAGGTAAGACAGGAAATACGGATAGTCGGGATAAATGATTAGTGGAATGTGGTAAGTGGTTCTTGGGCTGGGAATTTGTGGCAGAGTAATCTGAAAACGAGAGCTATTCTACCTCAGGATGAATCAGGAAGCATTTATTCACTAAGAGGGCAGTGGACATCTGTAACGCCCTCCACCTAATAGGTGTGAGCACTGGGTCTGTACTGTGATCAAAGTCTATCTGCTCAGTAAGTGTACTCAGCCAAATAGATCAAGAAAGGTAAAGCTGTGACATGTGATAGTGTTAGGGTTAAGATTAGGGTTAAGGTTAGGGTTAAGGTTAGGGTTAGGGTTAGAGTTAGAGTTAGAGTTAGGGTTAGGGTTAGAGTTAGGGTTAGGGTTAGGGATAGGGTTAGGGTTAAGGTTAGGGATAGGGTTAGGTTTAGAGTTAGGTTTAGGATTAGGGTTAGGGTTAGGGTTACGGTTAAGGTTACAGTTAGGGTGAG